TCCTGCGAGACAATGACCAACACAAAGCAGTGGGGTTCTCTCCGTCTCATACCTTGCCGCATATGGGACTTTCAGTTTCGCGCATCTCTCCTTGTGCCTTTTTGTTTTCAAAGAAAAACCGCACACCACAAGCTCTTCAGAGTGACCGACTGCGCATGTTTCTTTTGGGCATCAATCACAGTCGTTGGGGCTAAAAAGGCCGTATATTGTTTCATTGTGCATCACATTAGGGGGTTCCTTTTCCCACATATCGTGCCGGGTATCCCCAGGGGCCTCTCAGCACCGCCCCTCCCTCGGGGAGGGACAATTATTGGACGCTGAGCGTTGTTTCCGCGTAGACGCCTTCCGGCACAGGAGCATATCGGCGGGGCTGTCCAGCGGCTGCCTTCCGATTACGCCGGTAAAAACGGCCCCGAAAGCTGTCGAGGAGAGGCTGGCGGTGGACTCCACTGAGGACGAACACCACGAAGGGGTTGAGGCAGGAATTGACGTAGATGAGCACGTGCGCGATCTCGATCAGGCGCATGTACAGCTCGAAGTTCTTATAGACGTGCTCCATGGTGTCGTAGTCCGAGTACAGGAAGAACATGTAGAAGAAGTGGTACGGGAACCAGAAGACGGCGAAGACGATCGCCAGCAGCAGCACCACAATCGCCAGACGATGGCGGGCACGCACGCTGGCGACGGATTCTCCACTGACCCCACCGCAACAGAGAACTCGCGCCATTGCCGCATAGCAGCTGGTAATGACTAGGACAGGTAAGAAATAGGTCAGGAGTGCGTACGCGGTGATGTAACCCCGAATTGCCAGCCAATGGTCTGGGAGTTGACGACAAATGTGTACGTCAAAATAAGGTATGTAATACGTGTGGCCTACCACCAAGACAGGAATGGTGAACAGGAGCCCAATGGTCCAGACAACCAGGAGAATCGCCAGCGTGCGCTTCATCTGGACCCGCCGGTGCAGGGAGAAGTAACGCTCGATGCTAACCGCAGTCAGGGAGGTCGCACACAGTGCCTGAGAAAGTACCCACGCCCCGCCCCCGGCCTTGCACAGGAAACTGCCGAACGCCCCGGTGGGCCAACTTATGAACAGCCACGAGACTGTTGACATGGGCACATTTACAACAAACATCATGAGGTCTGCCACAGCCAAGTTACAAACCAAGATGTTCGAGGTGGTTCGCAAATGGCGGTTCAGTAGAATCACCTGCGTTGTGCATGCAAACAGAAAACGAAAAGAAAGACAGGTTGATTGGCACATGTCTATAGCTCGTAATTGGATTTCTGCAGACAATGCAATAAATACCCCCCTTATAAAAGAGAAAAGGGAATGAAGAGTAAGAAATCTTTTAAACATACTTTTCACCAGGACGTGCTAATGTGATGTGTTATCCGATCAACAGCAATAACACTGAATTAAGAGCCATGAGTGTCTTTTATAATATTTTCACTTTTAAGTCACAGCAAAACAGGAACGTTTGTTTAAAACATTTCCCCCTATTCAACGATCGCTTTATTTAGATGGTAAACTGTTGATGTCACATGGTACATGCATGTATAGAAAGTTTTTCATTCGAAAGAAATGAACACGTGCACCGACCTGTCCACAATGACGAGAGAAAGGGGACACATAGAAACTTTCGGAGATTTTTGTAACGCTATCAGCATATCAGACGCGCAAAAAGCCCTCAGTCGCATGAAACGCCGTGAAAATCTTGAACTACAATCTGACAGTTAAGTATCTTACCAGCAGGAGGGCACTATTGCCCAAAACGCCGAAGACGGCCATGCAGATTGACACGGAGACATTCCAGCGCCAGGGGGGTATTTCGAAAGCCTTCGGATTGTCCCAACGATCACTGTCTGTGTCGTTGACTGCAAGAGGGGTATAGAAAAAGCCCAGTCGTGAGAATAAGCTTCCCAACAGTTGGTTTAGTATGAGGCGTCGATGCTGCAAACAGTGGCATAGCTAGGATGTTACTAGTGGGGGGGGCATCAGCATCTTATGGGGAGCACCAACTTTCATTGGTGTGTTTTTTTAGGGCAAGTTTTCGTTAGCCTCGTTCAATATCCACTCATCCGTTTTGTTTTTTAGTGGGGGGGCACCCGGAATTCGTGGGGGGCACTGCCCTTAAGGCCCCCCCTTGGCTACGCCACTGCCTGCAAAACATATGGACTCTATTCGCAGGTCGGCCATATTGAATTGAAAGTGCGAGGTTCACTTTTTCTTTGGGGAATCTGGGAATAAAAAATGAAAGAAATGCTATGAAAGTCATTACAAATTAATGTCATTCCAGCCGATAGGTTAAACTGTGTGACTATGTTTTAAGTTCTACAGACCTTATTCACAAAGGTACCATTTTTTAATTGTGTCCCCTTAATCTTTCTTATTCAATGTAATCTGTTTGCTGGGGTGGTGGCAGACTATTTGGGGTTTCCAGGCATCACTTTCTTTTTATGTGGCTTACAAAATTCAGAGCATAATCTGAAACCTTATTGATGACTCTTACCCGCACTAAGATTCGACTAGCGCTCACTGAGAGGGCCTAGGCTATACATTTTCCCCAACACACAGAAATGTGTTACAAAGTTAAACAGTCCACGCAATTCAATTATTTTACTACCACCCTTGAAAAGGCACCTTTGTGTATCAAGCAACATTATTTCCAATTTTTCGTTTGCTAACGCATTTTAGCTCTTAACGCACGTTTATGCTTAACACGAAATGCCATTAATGTTCTTGAATAAATCTGTGATGTCAACCAAGAAAGAAAAACCTCATTGATGTGATCTGTGCAGAGAAGATGCTGGAATGTTTGAAATTCTGCTGTTCCCAACTTCCATTAATTTTCTTTGGTGATTATTTTTGTTATGTAAGGCCCGTTTCAAACGTCCTTATTTATGCCGTGTCGAATAAATTTGAATTGAGCACGACGTACGCATTAGCATGGCAGTGGTTTCAAACGTCGAACCTAATAACAAAGGCGTGGTCAAACTTAAATAAACCCAAAACAGCAGACCAAAGCGCAGTCTTATTCTTGCCAATAAAATTACAGCTGCACGACGAAAAACGAGTGTTGCTTCAACAAGCATGACTGCTAAATCAAGTTCTTTACTGAAGAGAAAGACAATAATAACGTGCCTCGTTGTCCATCTGTTGTCAAGCCCAAGTTTGGGACGTGACAATACGCTTAAGCCACTTGCGAGTTAAATTTGAATAAAATCTGGTACACTGTGTTATCTGATTGCACAGAAAACGTAACAATTTGAATTCCCCAGACTAAAGACGCTGTTGCTATACCTCGTGATTCGGGGCAATCTTTTGCATAGCGACCACCATCTCCTTTGTGCCGTTCTTACCATTAAAAACAGTGTATTGTTGCAAGGCGTCTCTTAAGCAACTAAACAAAAGCTTGCCCCGATTCACGAGGTATAGCAACAGTGGTTTTAGAAAGGAGAATTCAAGTTGTTATGTTGATGTGAATTTAAAGAACTCAGTGTACCAGATTTTATTCAAATTGAACTTGCAAATGGCTTATTTCAAGAGCTTGCAGACGTCTGAGGAGAAATACCACAAGATGGTTTGATTTGATCGGGGACACGTATTCGGGCAGGAGATCCTAAAACTTTTGAGTCTTAAAAGCAACTTTCCTGTTCGTCTTATCTCGCATAAACAAACGGTAACCGAGGGAGACAAACGGTAACCGGGATGATTTTAGAGCGTTATCCGGAGACAAAAGTGAAAACAGTGGAGAGGCCGAGAGAAAATGACGCTGGAATTTGGGCCCCCGTACATTTTCAAGTGTACATGTATATGTATTTTTTTTATTTCAAGACAACTCGAAAATAGAAACATTGCTGAACGTTACAAAAATCATAAAATGTAATTCTTTAGGGTTATAATTAAAGTTTGCCGACAATATTTAACACAAAGAAGCTATAGCCAATTCAACCCATCTTAACAAAGGGTAAATCTCTCTGGTTGGTTTGCTTGTTTTACTACATGTAGGCTACAGTGGGAGGCTTTGGGATACTTAGTGGCGGCAGACACAACGGTCCTTTTTGGTTGATGTCATATAGGGGTGCAGTACACTAATTCAAGCGAGAATTTCTGGCCAGCTCATGAGCATTAAAAGTGCCCCCCCCCAGTATCTTTTGAAAAAGGAGATTGTATGGCCCCCAAAATGGTGAGAAGTCCCTGGGTCTTTGGGCTTTCATCTGAGAGCAGAATGGCAAAAAAATACTGTTGAAAAATGGTCTTAAGTGCCTAAGAAAGTTGAGGGTTGTCACTTAAAAAACGGCTGCTAGCAAACTTTGGAAAAATCACTTTTTGGGGGTAATTTTGTTTTGAGGGAATAACCCAAAATGTAATCAGTTAACCAACAGAAAATTGAAAAGAAAATGAAAAATTATGGAAGATACAATAACTTTTAGTGTGTTTTTCCGGTTCCCTTAGGGATGTTAGAACGCATATTATTGGGCCCGAGCAATGCTGATTTTACACTGTTTTCAATGGGGCCTGAATTAGTGGACTACACCGGTACCATAAACGAATTCGACGAGACGCCATTCTGAGGGGCCACCAATGATGTCATGAAGACTTTAATCATGGAGATCAATGGGGCCATTTACACTCACGCAGCTGTCTTAACATCAGCGCGCACTTCGGCAATTGACTACTGCCTATTGGTCAAGGAGGAATATACCATTGATCTCCATAAGAGCGTTCCGAGGTAATAGGTGGCGTTCTTATCACACATATCAAACAATGCAAACAAGTACACATTTCTGACCAACCACTTAGACACGAGTAGTCACAAAATAATCTTGTAAATAATTAGAATCTCATATGAATCATGGTAGTTACCCATGTTTTGAACAATAATAGCGACAAAGAGTCAAGTTAGAAAAAAATAAAACGGCTACACGTGGTGCCTCCTGTGGTGTTAAGATCCTTAACTTAATGCGAGCACTGTATGCACACACAAACTATCATAAGGAGAACCTTGAACATCCGACGGAGCGGGTTAGCGTAGCGGTTCTTTCCTCGCTTTGCACCAATGAGGCCCGGGTTCGAGTCCCAGCGTGGCCCAGGCTTTAAGTGCAATTGGCTTCCAGTCCATACTCGCTCTCGCAGGTTTTCTCCGAACTGAACCTTCTCCCTAACTCCGTAATGTGGTGCTGATTAATAATTAGTATGATTAAACGTACAGTTATTGATGCAAATAGCCCGAGTTGCCGAAAGCACCATTAAAACAAACCAACAACAACCTTAAACATCTAACATCAAAACACCGAAAAAGTTTGACTGATTGTGCAAATACATTCCATTTATAGGTCATCATGACAACTTACAAAATCGTAGCGCAAAATGATGAGTCCTTAACCAGAAAACATAGGCCGCAGCCTTGAATCTCAAGATTACCTTTCAAAAATCATTCAACTGTAAAACTTTAGGAACTTTCTTTGGTCGAGATCAACAGCTTTTCATTTCAACATCAAAAACTATTAACCAATATAAAGTTTCAACATCACAAAACTATAAACCAATATAAAGTTGCATCTTAGACGATATAAGGGATCCCAAAAGTCTTTGTTTGTAACCGTATTTACTAAACATAATACTTCACAGACAGGACTATCAAAATTCAGTTTGTTATTGCCAAACCTTAGACCTACAATGCCCATATGGTATGGAAAAACAATACTGGACGGAAGACGCACGCATAGAATGACTATCATGTTCCAAGGCATGCAATGAGTCAAAACTAAACATCCGTTTTAAGTGTTGGATTCGTGCACCACGGGTAATATTTTAGAAGTCGAAATGGGGACATTTAGGACACCCTGTAAGAATAAATTTTGACAGCATGTTTTTCTGAGGACTTAGACAGCTCTCCAGACCCACATGGTGTGCTCGAGCCCTGCGCAGATGGCTGTCTTATGTCAGACTGAAAACTTGGCATGAAGAGACCTCCAGCCTGCTGGTGTTTTTTGTCTTCGATAAATTTTTCATGATCAACTGCACCATTCGAAGTATATATATCCTAGCTCGTTCAAATTAATCACAGCTTTGGTGGGATCTTAATCAACTCGAGTTATGAATATACTGTACATGTGTTTCCAAGGCTGGAGCTACACTGTGGCTCCAATTTTTCTCTTTGGTTTTCCAGCAACCTTCTTGGTGTGCACAAAGAGATTAGGGCCTACCTGTGGATTCACAGGAATCGGTATCGGCATGGCTCATGGCTGAGCATTCTTCACTGTCTTTTTCTATCCCTTGAGGTGGATATGCTTGTCGAGCAGAAGGCTCCAGGAGGGCCTTGTCAGGTTGAGAAGAGTCTCGGGTTTTCCAAACTCAAAGAGATGATCAGCTTCCATTGTGCCACTGCTGTTTGATCCACTTTATCCCCCGTTGCACTTTTAACAGTTAACGCAATCTTCTCACAATCGTATGGGCCTATAGCTTCTCGAGTTTGTTCCTTAGTTGCAAGACTGTGTCCGGGAAAGCTGCCTCGCCTCCGTACAATGTCTGGACGTCTTTCAGAACTTTTTCATGTAATTCAGCATTCTTGGAGTTTATTTTGTTCATAAACATCAGCCTATTCAGCAATACTCACTAGTACAGACGACATTGATGAAACCATTATTTGTCTGACCCTGTCCATTCTTGTTCACGGCCTACTACAGGTCTCGCACGATTACGTCACGCTGCGCTACACAATAACCAATACAATTTGTATATGTAACGAGTCAGCGAGCCAGCACTTGTGTATCCCAACATATATTTATATTGCATATGATAGAAGAAGACATTACAAATTTAATTTACAGGGCTTATGCACATCTATCTTGAAATTTTCATCAAGTTCGAACCCAAAATACGAACCAGGCTTCAACAACACAACGTAAAATCAACACCACTTCATCGGATGGTATAGATATATTGACAATGACTCTAGTCACAGCGGGGCGACATGCACAAACAGTCGGTCAAAAAAAAGTCAACACGTCATCAGTGCTGCAACATAAACAAATGATGCGTCAACAAAGTGTAAGAGCAACTCTAACAAATCACTGTGATGGGAAAGCAGACATTTGTTCTCGAAAACAGGCTCCACCACGGACGGCGAAGTGGGACGGCGATATCGCGGGTTGTGACTTGTGAACTCCTTTTGTACACAAGACAATTCTTTTCAGGCCCAAATTCTCCCTTTGCCTTTATACCCGTTACAATTGTGTATGTAGTTGATTAGTTGAACCATAGCTCCATGCTCCCACCATGGAGGATGGATGTGTACCTCTTTCCATGTGCCTACATATACGCAGGCACATATGTTTACTGCGCCCGTTTAAAGGGTTTTGACCGTAACAAATTGTATTTTTTCAATGATCGTTGGAAAAAGGTGGAACCTTTCTGTATCCCTAAAAAAAGACAGTGTTCTGGATGGACAGATTTCACAGCTTGTCTGACACTGTTATTTTCTAACTTCACAGTGAGATTTAAAGATAATTCTGCGGTTCCGCTCTGAGTTTTGAAAAATGGTGCACACTACCTTCAACACCGACACTCCATATTTAACAGGAAAGATTCCATATGCTGTACATGCACTTGTACGGATAACTGATGCCCCTATGCACAAATCTATGAGACTTGTCTGAAAAAAACTGTTTTCTAAATCATCTCTTCGGAATTTTTTTTATCTGAATTTCACTTTTTACTAATTTTAGGACAAGTTATCACTTTCTGGTGGTTATTATGACATTGAAGGAAAAATTGGTGTTGTCCGTATACGGAACTCTTTCCAACAAATATTTCATTAGTGTACATGTACATGTATAATTGTGTGATTTCCTTGTTTGCTCCAGAATTTCAGAAAACAATATAGACAGTAGTCAGAATGACTCTAAACCTAGCAAAGCACAAACTACAGGATCCATCCGAAATGGACTCCAATGGAGTCCGCCCGTCGGTTTGTACGCAGTGCCATAGGCTGTTTGTGAATACTCCATTGTTCAAAACGTGTCATGAATTGAAGAAGAACCGTCACTTGTCTTACCGTCCATGATACACAGGTACGTAGGTAGGCCCCTAGCTTACTGGGTGGCAATGACCACAGAGCAAAGAACAGGCGTGCCACAGTATCCAGTAGTTACGTTCGAAGACACGTCTCATGGGCTTCTGATAGGTTTTTTGCAGCATTCAAGGCAAGGCTTTCGATGCATGTATGAACATGTACATGTACGTGCGCTGTCAGGGTAGGTAATACGCGTCTGATTGGGATTGCATGTTCTGTACATTATGAGCAGCGCTCGTAGACAAATAGGATTACTACGCTAGAGGCACAATAGTTCATTGGACCAAGCGCACCCGGTACCAGCCACGAAAGACTGTAGACTTCACTCCAGTCGAACTTCATCCGATTTTCTGGGAAGATACATCTGGTTGATTTATGACGATGGTCTACTCATTTACTAAATCCGTCTTCAATTTTTCAAGGCCGCATATCATATGTGCTTCTTTGTCGTGATTAAAAGGTTTTGCGGTCATGAAACGAAAGCTGGTTTGGTCGTTGAACTTGCTAATAAATGACGAGAAACAATCCTCAGTTGCCACGCCAATATCTGTATGGTGGGTGGCATCTTTAACTTGTCCACTGAGGTCAGAGAATGACATGCCCTGGGAACAGACTGTATTCGCGGGGTACCGATTTCAGTCGTATTCCTGTATTGTATACATTTGTACAAGGTGAGTGTGGGTTGGAATGAAATTGTAGAATAAAGTCTGGTTCTTCAAATTTAACGTTTGCAAATGAATACACTACGTTGGGGAATCTGACTGAAACTGCCCCCCCCCGCGCATACTGTCTACCGTGCTGATTGCATTTGTATGAAAGAATAATTCCAAATTATTCTAACCAGCGGCGTATCCAGCTTTTGGTGGGGGTGGGGGCGAATTCAAAAGCGAATGCAGCTTTGGGGTCATTCAACATGATGTTTGGGGAGAAAAAGAGAAATCAAAAGCCTTACTTGTGGTCCTAACATCGTTATTCATGGTGTTGTTTTCATAGGATTTGGTGCTAATATTTAATAAATAAATATACCGATTATTTTCTTACCAATCATAAGTATTCTTTAATATTCACGATTCCATCGCTGGATACACCACTGTTAACAACCTCCTCGGAACACGCAGGTTCACGAAATGTACAGAATTAGTGCCTGTTTTAGTTTCCACCGACGTAATGTCTATGCCTCTAATGCGCCCCCTCCAGATGCTTTTTTATTATTCTGCACACAGAGTCACAAAATAGCGGTTGGACGAGTACTTTTTTACACCATGTATTTTCCTATTGGATGATGATTCTTGAGAAAAGACTAGTCTTCTTTTGCCACGCGGAAGCTTATCCTGTTCAATTGTCGAACTTTGCTTCCCTTTGAAAAAGATTCTTTCAGCCCCACAGTTATCGCCTTTGTTCAAGCAAGGACCATTGTGTTTAAGGTCGGGTTTCCCCGTCGTGATGTGTAGGAAAACAAAATTGCATCTGGGAGGCTTTTGTATAAAATAACTTGCCTCTGAAGTTTTCTGCGTCTTTCCCGCCCCTCCCTCTCTCTGAACAAAAATGTTGACAGTTGGGTTTTTTCGGCACCATGTTCAGTGGGGTAGGGTCAGCCTATAAATTATTCTTAATAACTAAATTTAGTCTTGCAATTAGTATATGTACATGTATTCGTAAGTACCATCCCTACTCATACGAGACCCAAAACTTGCTCACTTGGGCTGTGTCTGAATTACCTGGCTCCGTCTAAAATTATGCACAAGTCTATGGCAGTGATTGCGGCTGGTTCCCCTAGTAATAGTTACAGTTGCCGAAAGCTCGGCAATCACATATTTCAGAGCACTGATTTGATAAAATATTCTTGTCGATATTCTGATCACGGTGCTACGCAGCCTTTCAATATTCCTCTAGTAACAGAGTTGTGTGTAATTTCAAGCACAGCAGTGATATTAACGGGTGTATGGTCATGTGCCATTTCAGACCTTTTTTTCGTCATTAAAATCCAGGGGCGTAGCCTCGGAGGGCCTGTGGACACGTCACCCCAGCCCAGCCCCCCCCCCCCACTAAAAAAACGAGATAAATGGATATGGAACAATTAAGCTAACAAAAGCTTACCCCAAAAAAACACATCACTGAAAGTTGGTGCCCCCCCATTCTGGTGCCCCCCCCCCCAGTAAAACCTTAGCTACCCCACTGTTTGAATCCACCTTCACCTGACTGCAAACCCTCATTTTCATAACATCCTCTGTGCAGTTCCCCACCCTACCCAGCCCAAGGGAGATGTGTGCTTTGTTTCACTCTAGAACTGAGTGGACATGACATCTTTTCGGCCTGGGATGTGACATACACTGTACTTTTAACGTACGCGCGCGATGCATCATCATGTACTGTACATGTACATATATGTACAGCACATGTACATGTACTTCAGAATCGCCATGACCCAAAAATCACCTCGTGCCCGGGAATGGCCTCTGACCCCTGCATGTAAGTACAAACACGGCACCTCCAAAGAGTATGGGGAAAAGTCCACGCATGGCAAATCTCTTTGAATTCAGGGTCTGCAGATCCACCATAGAAGCTACGCATGCTTACCCAGCAACTGTGACGGCACGAATGCACATACAATGCATGAAGTATTGTTCAGCATGGGAATTGATAAAGTGTGTTTGGCATTGCCTGTTGCCAACACCTATGGCTTTAAAGTGCCGGCAAGTGAGATGAGCAATGACAGTATTACTCTGCGTGTTAGTCCATAAAAGGCTGGACTCTACGGGTAGGTTATCGCCCATGTAATCATCTTGACACCAACGTGTGACGGAACCACGGTCGGGGTTGATAGACCACGAGGCGGTCCTACTTGTAATCCAGCTGTCAATGAACCCGCCATGTTGACACGCGTCAGCCGGACAACCGGTCAAGCTGGCCCGACCAAACGAAGCAGAGGCAACACAGTGACCACAGCAAGTTTTTTAGGGGGAGGGTCGCACCACCAGGTACCCACAGAAACAAGCTGAAAACTGCAGGAGGATTGACGGCTGTCGAACAGCGAGGTTAGGGTTAGAGCAAGCTGCAACGCCTGCACGTGGGAGGGTTGCACTCTGTCGTTTGAGAATAAACCCTGCATGCGCCGTTTTATTTATCGCGATGAATGTTTTATGCATATGCATGCCGGCAGCGCGTTCGTCTGAATAAATCGTTTCGAACTTGTAGATGGTGCTGTATAAAAAAAAACCAGTCAATACAAGTACAAGTACACAAACCTTAATTTGCTCAGCCTTCCTTTTTATTATTGATCATCCATGTCCTGATTAGCATAATCTTTGAGCAAGACGGGAGAATGTCTTTTAACTCTGACGGCAACTTAGGCTCCGAAAACATTAGAAGCCACGGCACTGGTTGGACTGTTCTCACACGCACATTACGTGTGCGTGCATTTGGAAAATCAGATCCAACGCGCACTCCATACCTCCTGTCCACACACCCACACACATCTGGAAAGGGGTCGACAGATTTCGCGCGTTGTGATTGGCCAACGCGTCGCAAACTCTTGGAGGCGCACTGTTGTGAATCGCCCGTATTGTATATGGGACGGAGAGAACCCCTTCCTTTTTGTCTTGGTTTGTCTTGTGCCTGAATCTCGGGAATCCTTTGCAGACATGGGGGGGGGGGGCTTGTGCTCAATAACAATAGTCTACAGAGTGTCTATAGGGTTTGGGCATGTAGGGGGAACCCCTCTGTCCCATATCTTGCCAGATTTAGATGGTCGTCAAATCCCAGTGTCAAACGGAGACTTTCCACGTAAGTGTCACCGTGACAAATTGGCAGGCAGTGCACATGGAAAAGATTTATTGCCCAGACAAAGTTTGAACAAAAATAATCGATTTTTTTTGTAATTCATCGCTTTTCATTAAGCCTGCTTCATGGTAACTTGCTCTAAAAGATTTCATTGCAAAACCCTCACTATCTGAAGTTTCTCCCCTTTCTGACACTTTCCGGAATGTTGCACGATAACAATTTCTCATTTTCTCTCTCTTTCTTTCTCCTGATGACGAGCAGAGCATACTGCTCAAAACGTCGAGTACCACTGGTTCTTTTCAGAACCGCAAATACTCACAAAAGAGATACGTCCATGCATGGTGCTACCGCAAACCTACTTTCTATTTCTCGGTACGGTGGTCATCGCACCATCGGGCATTAAGCCATACCAGCAAGTCCTGAGGAAAAACCTTTTTTTAAATCAGCCTAGCTCAATTTGGAGCCCTCAAGGAAAACGCAATGCCTGAAGTATAAAAGTCTGACCTTTTGCAGCATCTCGATATCTACAAAATACAACCAGTTTTCTCCATCAATAAGCTTGCACGTCTGAACGCATTTATAATCATGATAGTGTACCTCGTCAGATGCTGACCAGCAGAACTTGGATAACGACCATTGGGAAAATGTTTGCCAAATGCACGGCCCCCGCTGACCGATGCGATATGCCATCCCATGCGTCAATTCCATTCTCCACAACAGGAGCGATTGTCGTCGGGAGGGATGCCGTAGATTCACTGAAGGCAAGCGGGGTTGGGTCGTTAGTGTTGATGTGGTCGGTGCCTGTAGACAGTGAAAGTGGTTAGATAGTGATATAACTGAAACAAAAAGTGTTGTAAAATGAAGGCATCTATAGTCCAATTACTGTATAATCTACCCGGACGAGGGATGTTAGGGACATCGTTGTCGAAAATAAGTGGGCCATTTTTTCTCGCTTTCGGGGAAAAAGGAACGCCAGGTCTCAACCCTCGAATTCCAGATTAGCTTTGTTACCGGACCAAAAGATACCGACTGTTTTGAGAGATCTTTAGGTGTGGTACCAACAACAAGTACCATGAGAGGAATTCCTCCCGATTCCAAAAATGTCCGACCTGGCCGAAAATTCCGGACCGTCTCCGTTGATTTTCGGGCACTGTCGTCAGTGTTCACAGATAATTGGTGTGCGGGCTAGGTAAGCAGCCCTTGCACATTTTCCACAAGTGTCACGATTCAAAATGGATTCTCCACGATTCGCTTGTCTTTGTGGCATACTGATCTCAACTTCTGCACCACTGAAACGGACGTGCGCGCGCTGCATCATTCTAAAAATAGAACGAGCAACCCAGACATGATGACGTCATCTGTTATTTTAGTGGCTACCCGCCATCAATGTTATTCAAACGGCAGGGGACCAGCCTGACCTCAGCCTGTACGCGGCCACTATGATTTGTCTGTATACACTGTGGAGGTATTAAAGGTGTTCTTGTGCTTCACGAACGTTTCCCCCTGATTCGATGCGATATATATCTATGGGCTGAAACGGGTGAGGCGGGTACACTTGAACGAACCGTCGTGCATCGCACTTGGAGTCCCAGGAGCAACCTGCACAGCTTTTAACGAACTTTATAATCCACGTTTCCGTTCAAAGGAACCCCCCAAGTTCACAAAAAACACACAGAACAAACCAAGGAAAGTTACGTGAATGGGACTTGCGTGGTCGCTCAAGTTGGTGCTGAAACGTTTTCTCATCATTTTCAATCGACCTGTTGTCCTTTGTTTGCTTAAAATTTCTCAAATCGAAAATTCATTGCAGACCACAAAATACTGAAATAAAAGACCACAAACTTAATGTGAATATGAATGTAAACATGAATAAGATTTTGAGCATTAACATGAGTAGGAGCATAAGTACACTACTAAAAAATTTGAAGGAACAAGAGAACAGAAAATGATTTTCACTTAACTTTAATGGCTCTTGTTCTAACAGTAGCCCATACAGACCATGACAAAAACATTCTTTTCTCTTGTTCCTTTAATTCCTTTGAGTAGTGTATAAGAATAACGAGCAGGATTATGAGTGTGACTGTGACTATAAATACGAGTGTGCATTTGGAACATGATGAACGGACATCAACTCATGTAACCTTATCGAATGAACGCACCTGCGTTGATGGGGCTGCCTTGCGTACAGTGCACATGAATACCAGTTGCCCTACTGAAGATGTGCGAGCCCGCCGCGTAGACCTCCATCTGCGTCATGTTCAGTTTCAGCACAAAGTCCGAGTTCCAATCAGTCCAGTAGAGGGTGTCGCCGTGGACGGCCAAGTCGAAGGGATAGATGCCCGTAAAGTTGAAGAGCGTTCGGCGGTTGTTCCCGCTAAGATCACTCCTCTCCAAGGTGTTGCGCTGGGCGTCGCCCCAGTACAGCAAGCCCCCTGTTGATATTAAGTGAAGTTCTATGTTCAATTTAGTATAGGTAAACGTTTGTACTCAGCGACCTATCGTATGAAGACCGGTGTTCTTGGAGCACCACACAGAGATAAAATTGTCGGAACACACCAAGAGAATCGGCCACAGAAGAGTTTAAACAACATCTGTGACTCGTTTTCCCCCAAACCAAACTTGGCCATGGACATACCACAAAGCATAAAGGAATTCAAGATCATCGCAAAACGTTTCCAGCAAACAAGTAGTGCTTCTTAATATATAAATATACATTTCTGATTAATCCAATGAAAAGCAACTCCACCTAGATCCTCTCAAAACCACGGCGAGGTTTGGGAAGACTTTGTGGAATTGAGGAGGTAGACCTCGGCTACTTTTATTCTGTGGGATTTGAAACATCCCTAGAAAGTTCTCGATTGTGCCATTGGTTTCCTATACAGTGACGGATTTTGGAGGACCCAGGAGGGGTCCAAACAGAAAATACGTAGGAGATAGAGTTTGCCCGTTTATGCATAAGCGTGGCCTTCCACAAGGCCAGTTTTCAGAATGCTTATTCATGATACGGTTTGGTCATTACCTGTGAGGTCCAGAGCAATCCCGTTTGGCCAGATGATGGACGCGTCGACAAGGACCATACGATGGTTGCCATTGTAGTCCGCTCTTTCGATTTTGGCCCGGTTCCCCCAACTTGACCAGTAGATATGTCTGTTAAAAGAACTTGATCGATTACCATGTAACCGTGGTCGTTTGTTGCTGTTGTGATTGGCAAAACGCCCTTGGGAAAATTTCCTTGCGGTGGTACAAAACTGTCTAAAATATCAGCCTAAAAGGTCATTCATCTCCACTTGACGATTCCGCTGGCGCTTCTTTTATCAACGAGTACAGGTGTGGATTCGGGTTGTATTTACAAGAAATTGCACCGCGGGTTACCTGTGGGGATAACAGCATCACAAATCGATTCGGTTTTTCAATGAGGCAAGGACATTTGCGATAAGATCATCTGGCGTCATGCGCCACCTCTACGCCTGTACACGCGCCGTTGGAATATTAATACCGCGCCGGCTCGTCACAAGTTTTGGAGTCATTTTCATACGCTTTAAAAAGGCCCTAGCGTTGAATTTTGTAGGGATAGCGGAAGTATACAAACTCCGTACAGTAATGAGTGTTCGGCAATGTGGACGGACTTATGAGAGCCCCAGAACCGAGTATGCATTATTACCTTTATATCTTTGGGAACACAAACCCCTAGCGTCTTCACACGTTGGTAATGACTGATTTGTTTGGGCTGCATGACGTAATTTCTTCGACTTCTCATTGGACAGAAGTTAATTGAACAACGGCGCATGTCAGCCTTTATGTGTGCACCCTGACACCTGCATTCATAACGCATGTCCATTGATTTAGTAAATAAGTTTAAGTGTTACCCATGAGGCTTTGTGACTCTTGTGCTTCCTTCACTTCATTAATTCCACGAATGAGCCAGTTCGGTATTCCAACAGCGCATGCCCAGACTAGTACAAGGCTATTCGGGAACAGCTACACGCGCGCGCGATAGTCTGTCCTCTCAGCTCAGCCACAGTCTGACTCTGAGGCGCACTTTGTTCTTAAAAGACCCTGGCGTTTTGAAATATCGAACTGGCTCATTAGCCCGAGCCGGCGGCCAGTAACTTCACGGAGCGCACTGCCCCGAAGGATCCACACCCAGATGAAGAAAGAAATCATCCTTACCTTTCTTTCTGATCAACGGCTATTGCTCTTGGCTTCTTGAGGTGCTGACTCACAATAACTCGCCTGTCGCCTCCGTCCATCGACGCTCGCTCTATTTTGTTGCCACGGCGACCGTCTGTCCAGAACATCAACCTGGTATGGTAGTCCAGAGCCAAACCATTGGGTTCTGAAAAGTGAATTGAGCGAAAATGTTGCCTGTTTTCCAACGTAATAACTATAAAATTTGGTTCCTTTTACAGTTACATTTATACATGAACTTCAAGTTCACGTGGATGTTTTAGATGTCATGCGCATAACCGTCAATGGGTCCTTTTTTCGTGTAAGCCCACGTTCGCAGGCAGCGTCCGAGAGCTAGCTGTTGCTTCGTCCGAATCTGGTGGCTATAAGGCTAGATATACGGGGCTTCGTCTGTTGAAAACACATGCTGGGGACAGACGCAGCCGTCTGTCCATTTCAGACATGGCCCACAACACCAGACTCACAAGGCTTTGTCCCAATGTGGTGTGTTCTGACTATGCGGCTTCGACTGTTGCAATAGCGCAAATGTACAAAATAGGCTGCAGCCAACGACACAAGCCGTGGCCGTCTCTGCCCAATCTTCCTTTCAAACCGAGGCAAGGATTTGACTCCACTGTTGAAAATGGGCCGTGTCGGAATTATGGGCTACGACGTGCGCCCAATGTATGGAAGCCACCACCTTTAGCGGCTTCACGCATTGCCCACAAAGGCAGGTGTTATTTTGAAGCCGCATCCATGTCATTCAGACGCGGCCGTGTGTCGTCGTAGGACGAGTGACAGTGCATGGACCTACGCACCGACTAAACCTGACCATATCAGTATCTCTCTCCTGCTACCGTCCAGATGTGCACGGAGGATCGTGGTGTCCACGAAATCCGTCCAGTAGACCATGCCGTCGACGGGATCGTAGTCAACGGCGATCGGGGCTGAGAGATTGCCAAGGGGAAGAGGTGAAAGGTCAAAGTCTCCGAGGTCCCCGATAAAGATGGCTGCATTTACCCGGTCGGCCACGAGTACAAAATCTGTCCAAGAAAGCAGAGAAAGACCACTTTGTGGTTAAAAAAGTAAACTGCCAGAAGAGAATTTTTCCTATAGACCTAGCTCCAAACCACCAGCTTTACAATGAAACACCGCCAAATCAGTAAATGATGCACAACAGTGTTGTAGTCAAGACCACTTACGACCTTCACAAGACCACACGAGACCAACACAAGACCTCTCGTCTGAATTCATGTCACAAGCTATTAAAATGGACTACAACAAAAGCATTCCTTTGTCATTATTACCAGTGACTTGTCTTATGCATGTCTTGTGTCTGGTCTTGTAATGGTCTCGACCACAACACTGGTGCATAACCACCAAATCTCTTCAGTTGCAGACAGTTCAAAGCTCTGCCGCAACCTGCAGTTATACTGCAACGTCACAGTACTTGTTTAAAAGAAGTCGCCCTTCTTTTTGCGGTCAACACGGAATATCTCAACGCAATGGATGTCATACCATAATTTACTAACAGTATTTTCCAAAGGTCATAATACAGAGGACGTCAATTGCATAGGTTTAGCGGCTTCCTTGAACATTACATGATAATTGATTAATCTGCGTTGGACCCAATCAACGTTAACCGTGAACATGGCCATCTGAATGGTTTGCCAAGCAAACAACGCACTAATTCACAGCAGTTGTTCGTAGGGGGTGATGGAGTTGCAGCCTAGAATACGGGTGAGTGATTATACACGCTCACCTTCTGTATCTCTTCCTTGAACACACTACTTGCATGAGGTGTGACCAAAAATATGAAGGTCATTATGGCACGTCTGTATATATATCCACCTTGAGCAGAAGAACCCCCTCAACGGTTGCAACGAGCCAGTTTGCTGGAGAGTATTCATTTTGCTGGTAGCGACGCGACCCAAGGTATGTATTTCATAGTCGGTTGTGAACCAGCGAAGTGCAGGTCCCCCCAGAAGTCTGCATTGCCAGGATAATTACGCCCTCTGTTTGTCCTGCTCGTGGCTCATAATTTGTACCCCGAAATTTCACATCACTTGTGCCATTAAACTTTAACACGTATAGAACAAACAAAAGACACACATTGCCCAAACCATTGAGTGGTTAATTGACGGGTAAAAGCAAGGATTTAACATCTTAACTTACTTCGTGCAATGTCTATTCTGCTGAACTGTACATGTAAGCAACGCTGCATGCATATTTCAGGTTTAATTTCATTGAAACTGAGTTTATTTTGCTACAATTACACCTGAACTATTTTATCACAATCCAAGGGCGCTGCTGATGTTGGGTCATTTTAGCCATATGCCCGAATACACGTAGTTCCAAGATTTGGGCGTCTGTAATTTGCATATTTTTGACCTTGAGGGAGGGTCAGTCGGGTGGAGAGTAGTCTTGGTTTCAAGACGTTAGTGCTTGATAGCGGACACCGTGCATAGTAAGTAAAAATAGATGTGCGAGGGCGCTCTTCAACAGAAATAAAACAACTATCGATCACTGACGTCTTGGGCCAAGACTAGGTGGAGGGTAGAAAAATGGCTTGCTTGTCCCTGCAAAAGTCGGTCGCATAAAATGTTTTTTCCCTCTGTCAGAGCCAAAAATCAATACTTACTCAACGCCCTTTTTGGAGACCTTCAGTCACGGGGAAGCCATCTTGTTTTGCAAAATAAACGGCCGATTCGGATGACGGCGAAATATTTCCTAAATGACTGGCGTGCATTCCACACCGCCCTTTCATTTTTTTTTTTTTTGAAAATTTGGCTTAAAACACTGAACTAAGTTTATTCACAAAACGACGTAGAGTAGCTTTGTGAGGAAATGTCATTTTATTGCTTTCATTTTTGCTTTAAAGTAACAAAAATGAAGAGCTTACTTCGCCTTTAATTTCAATATGGCCGACCTATATGGATAACGTCTATCTGCTATTGCACAAAGCCTTCCGCCGATCTTTTTTCCTCAAATACATGTATAGAGTCCGAAGCAGCTATCGGAGATGACGCAACAGTTTTCCTCATGAATATGTACATTCGCATCAGCATTATGTAACCCGACCTTCACGCAACGTGCATGAAATTGCGGATTATAGGTCGCCAATAGATACACATTTTAACGACAGCTTGACTTAAATATTTCATTGACGAGATATAGGGCTGTAGACATGAAGATATCAAGCCATCAATAAAAACGTAGTCCGGAAAATTTACTTACCGGTTTCAACCCCCATTGCAGGCCAAAGACACGGATTACATTCCTTAAGAATTAACTTCCCTATGTCAGTGCCAAAACGAGTAAAAAAAAACTCAACAAAAGGTATGTGAAGCTTGTCTAATGCAGTTCAGAAGCTCTCTCGAAATACGCGCGTTTTCGTTGTACATGACATGTAGCCTATGCCATCATCCATAGTTCTGACCGCTGCCGCGGTTAAATGTGAAGATTCGAGACGAAACAATGAAGTTCATGACTGACCCCTCCAAGTAAGTAACGTACTAACTTCAATTTTATTCACTCCAGAGTTTCAGTGGATTTGGTTGGCCGGTAACTTGTGCGTTTCAACGGGCGACCTGATCAAGTGGTCTTCTCTTCTGTGATCTTTTTGTACTCACTCTTTGGAATTCTTGAAAATGACACGGTGCAGTATATCGAAAGACAACATTGCCTTTTAGGGAAATTTGTTTTGAATGCAAACACAAATATTACTCATATGTGAATAATAATTGGTCAATGTAAAAAAACAGGTTTTGAAGTGTTTATTATAATGGATGCTGGTGCGAAATCATCTCAATAGATTCGGGTGAAATTCGACCAATTTTCTGGAAACGTTTTGGTTTTTAATGAACTTCTTCACGGAGATGAATACGTTGATCGAACCAAATCTGGTTTCAGGGCTGAGAGATTACTGTGAATTTCCAGTAGTTCAACGAATTTAATTAAATTTTGATGCGACAATGTCGTCATTCTTCTGAATGAACCGGACACTGCCACTTTCCTTTGGCATTTTTGGAATAACAGAAAATTGTTACAGAACAAGACCAAATCTCCAATGTGGGCCCACAAGTTTTGCTCGTTCACTGATGGGCGAGGAGTCCGTACAGATAAGCTTGAGGTTAACATTGGACTTCATTGAAGATATGGATTTTCTGTGACACCATATACGGTTGTTTCCCTGAAATCTCAGGCAATAAAGGCTCGGCCCGCTAACGGCGAGCGAAAAAAACTCACTGAGATCACTCCAAAACAGGAAATTTACAGATGGCTATCTCCTCCGGACTGTCATTCTCCCGGTTTTGCCCAAAACTAGACTGCAGCGCCCAACTGCTACAAACAGCGGAGATGGCGTAGAGCCCTGCCGAGCGCTAGCGCTGCACCCATGCCCTGGTGTCTGACAAGAAATCACGTGTTACCTGTTGATGTGTTGTAGCCGTTCGCGTTCGCGGCAAGGAAAAGCAGATAGAAGGAGCAGACGCTGTTGGAATTCATGGTGTGCGCATAAACGGGATCGAAGGGGTTGACTGAGCGTGGTACGGCTTGATGGTCGACTCGACAGTCCCCTGCCTTCCAAATGAACGCTGCGACCACTTTCACTTTGTTGGTACAAAAGCTTGCCGTTTATTAAACAGCCGTTTGAGGAAGTTTCCTTCCAAAAATATTGAATTACTTCCGGAACGCTGTTTTGAGGGTGACCTGTATGCATAAGCTCTCCTTTAGTTTGTTTTATTTGGTTCTTTGATCGATGTACATGTAGATCAAATAAGGGAGATCACGCAAGTCCATGACCAAAACATCACGTGCATGGAAGGGGTAGGTTTGTGACAGAGACTACGATCGACAAGATAATACCGGCAGTCATTTTGGCAACGATGCATTTTTTCCCTTTTTTCTGCGTGTCATCTGGTGAGAGGGAGACATTTCAATGTACATGTACATATACCAACGAAGTGCCAAGCACAGATAACCAGCACGCTGCGCGGCATTATGCATATTGTTTTTGCAGCACACTTTGTTCCCATTTGATGTGTGAGCATATGGTTTATCCATCATCTGTTCCTGTAATAACAAGCACAGATGCAGATTGCAAAATCGGTTGACTTTCATCGTCTCCTTGGACTCGTGCCCATTTATCTTATTATCTTGTTGTGTGAAGGTTACAGGCGAAGCCAGGCTCTTCTGGGGGGGGGGTCCACCGGTGCAAGTTTCCCCTTCCCCCTGCTGCGTTCCTGAGCATGCGCAGTTGAACAATCATTTCAACTGGCCTTTCAAGTTACTCTAGTTTGGACCGTATGCAAATACCTTTATGAACCGCGTGTTGATGATTGCATTCTTCGCTCGTTGGGTGGGAAAAAAAGAATCAAACGTCGCATGAACATAATTTTATTATGAGTTCTCTTCATCAGCCTAGCTGTGCTTTAATCAGGGTTCCTTTGTTCATCTCTGCCGAGGGGTAGTTTGTTTTACACGGACGCTGTTTTACAAAATAAGCATGTCCTCTTGGCAATGGCTTGTCCCTATAAAAGATGGTGACACATATGTTTTGTCAAGCACCAGGAAAATCATCTATTGGAGACTGATACTTGGAACTCATTGAGAACTCTGTGGCAACAGCCGGCACAAAGATAAGCGTATATTGTGATTAATTATCCATAACGCATAATTTCAAATCAACTCCATCTGTTACAACTTTTGTGCGTAGAGGATGAAAGTGACAACGCCTCCATTCAAGTCCTGATATACGTGGGAATAGGGTGAGAGCGCTTGGTGCCTGGAGAGGAAGCGGGATCGACATTTTATTTTATCAAGGAAAAAAAATAGCCATAGATCTTCAAATACTGTCGACCACAGGTAGGAATAACAGGGACTTTCAATTGATGTACTTTACAGTTGGCACAAACTTAGCTTTCGTCAAGTGACCCACGCTTTTCTTAAAGCGAACGGTTGAAACGAGCCGGGACTCGCCAAATGTGTAAACGCATGTAAAATAGAGGCGGGCGGAATCGCGCCAGCGGAAGGAGAGCATCTATGCATCTACACACAGGTTTCAGTTGAGACGGTAGATAGTCCTGCAGATATCTTATCTAATTATATATACGATTTGATGCTCCAGACTCAAGAAACGTTAACTTTTCTGGGAACTAGATCAGCGATTCTTTTTTTTTTCCAAAGAAGTTCCTAAATACGTGCACCCACCAGCCAACACTAAAAACCGATTCTAACGATGAGTGATGACCGGATTTCAACGTCGGGTTAATGTTGGACTATGCATCGTGGCACTCATTTGATGTTTTGGTAAATCTGTTATCAATTGAAAGCTCATTAGCTCCCAGAGATATTAGAAGTTGATTAGATTTCGAAGCAAAGCCGAAGAAACTGCCGTTGGTCAACGTCCAATACAGCATGGGTCCATGCAACTGAAGCGACTCCTCTGTATCTTTGGGGTTCTGATGGTTCCAGCGCCGTATCCAGCTTTACGTTTCTGTGGTGGTGGTGGGGTTGGGGTTGGGGAATTCAAAAGCGAATGTGGCTTCGGACTCATTCAACATAATGTTGGAGGGAGTAAAAAAATATCAAAAGCCCAACTCAGGGTCCCAATATCAGGCTTGCTTTTATTTCATAGTGTTGTTTTCTTAGAGTTTTGGTGCATTAATAAAGATACCGATTACTTTCTTCTCGATTTGCCATAGATGAAGTAGGCCCTACTTTTAGTTTAAAAAATGGCTTGAACTCATGAGGAATGACACTAGCCTGTTTTCTGTTCTCAGCGAAAGTTCCACATCACCCGGACAGTGAGGACACACGCAATGGCATCTCGAACATGCTGGATGACAATGACCCTGCTCGTCATGTTGACCATGGCTGGGTTAATGGACCAGTCAGCAGTCGTCGCTGAAGGACCATTTCGTAAGACATTTTCAGATGACACTCTGAAAAATAAATGGCCACAGAAAAAAATGTTTTGCCTAAAAGGTAGCATGCTCGAGCTCATCAGTACACGGATTTGGTAATGATTTTTTCACGATGGTAGTGGAGTCTATGGTAACAAAGACAACGAACACGACCATGACAATGACGACGAGAAGATCAACACAGAGGATGGCGATGAACAATGGCGATTACAATAAGGGCTCAATTATGACAAAGTTGAATCGGCACTTTTCCTGCCTGTGACATCGATTTAAAAAAATCAAGGTCTTTCAACAAATTACATAAAAAGTTTTTTTTAGATAACGTCCAAACGGCACGTCCGAATGTGACAAATGTGTGTCAAAAGGTGCATAGGATTTTTCTCCACTTGTGGAGGTTGGGCAGGGGGGGGGAAATCAGCGATTTCGTGGAAAATGCAAAATGAAAAGGGTGTGAATTCAGCCACGCAGGCTTTCTTTAGGTCGAGTTATTGTTATACACGCAGATTGCTTTTTTATCTCTAGGTCCTGCTTCCAGTCCGTGGGCGCCTTGGGTGTCTTCAAGAGCCCTCCGACTTGACCAAAAGCAAGTGAGGAAGAGAAAGGACGCGAACGGTGCTGGTTGTGGTGGCGGAAGCGACGCCAAGACTGAAAGTCCCTAAGAGATAGGGTGACTATATGACATTCGAGACTTGAATTCAAACCTTATACATAAAGGGCGGGTCGAGAACCAAATTTCCGGGTCTAAGTTACAACTGTTTTCCGGCTGGAGGGAAGATTTGGAAATTTCCTGATGTTAAACGTTTCATGGCCTTTCTGAGGGGTGAGACTGAATTCTGGGCTTTTTGTGTCTGGTAGGGAGGGTTAACGAAAGGATTTTCTCCCAAATGCCCCTTCTCTCATTAGTTTTAAAAAAAAATGCCCCTTTGTGGGACACAATGCTCGCTGTTGCCATCCCAATCCGCAAGGGTATTAAAAATGAACCGAAAGTGTACACTAAAAATGCACTGCAGTGGTCTATATCTGCAGAAATCACATAGGGAAATACAAAACTTGATAAAACCCCAAGTTACATTGAAGTACAGAGGGGGGTCTTCATTACGCGCACGTACATGAGTTCTTTCAAAATTCGGGATCCCAATTTTGTCCGTGTTTCCCAGGTCGCTGGAATGGTTATGCCATCTGCTAGCTGTTGGCAGCGAGCCTCGCTCGTGCAGCTGACAGTTTATGTTAGCATCAGCCCAAGAACCTTCCGTGGAATCCGATCTCCTTCACCCCTTCAAAGGATAGCGAGGACGATTGAATTTGTTGCTGTTTGGTTTCACTTTTTACAAAAGGGGAAAAAAGGAAGTCGGAACATTTAATTTTTCTGCACTCGATGTTTATTTTCATTGATTTGGGAGCAGGGTTCAACACTTAGTATTATATTCCTATATTCCATTCAGATATTGTTTCATGTCTTGGATCGCTTTCAAACTGTTTTTTATGGAGCATTGTGCCTGTTTTATAGGCAGCTAGTCATATCATAATACAGTTTTTAAAACCACAATATTTGCTTTTAAATTCCGGGTACAACAGTCGCTGGGACTGCCTAATGAAAGGTCTCAAGGGTAGTTTAGAAAATTTAAATTTTCATTCTAGATGTACATATTCCAGCGTTGGCCTCAAATTTTGCAGTTTTCCGGTCGGGCTCGTGCACACAGTGCAAGTTTTCAAAACGCAGTCCTTTTAAGTGCTTCTTTGTGTCCCGTATAAGTTTCACTCGATTTTCAATTTTTTGTGTACCACTTAAAGAGCATTTTGGAATCCTGATGATTTTTGTGCCGATGAACCGCATTTTTATCGGCACAAGTCGGATTTAATTCAATCAGACACCCTACCAGCTTCGCACAAAACTTGTTACCCGAGTATGGGATATTTTGCTGTCTTAAATTTTGTTTTGCGTAAGGGATTCATTGACGTTTTATAGTTCGTGACGGTATAGACAAGCGAGTGAAGTTTTCTAGCAGATATATCCAATGAGCAAGATTGAGTTCATAACTGAAATACCCCCTAAAAATGAGGAGTGAATTCCTATAATGATGTCACAGCAAAAGCACCGTCATTTTTCAGAAAAGAACATGGAAAACTGTAAATGTTTTAAACAAGTGTACTTTTCAGTGTGAGTGACGGACTTGTAACGAGTCACTAATTTTTATGACTCGAGTCGACTCATTGTAACGTAGTGACTTGGGTCGAGTCATTTACCTATCCGGACTCGAGTCGAGTCGCCAAAAATTGTGACTCAGTCGAGTCATTCCAACTATGGACGCCATCTAGTTTCTAGCTCGAAGAAGAGTAGAAAATTGCACACACAAAAATGCTCCCAAGCATGAAGAATTCACATCATGGAAGCACTTGATGAACCCTGAGCTGGAATGAGTCAAGTCCATGTATGTATAACATGATGAGGGTCGTCAACAGCCTGGAGCCGGCGGGACCATAGTTTTAGATACAGCCGAGATTCATTGGTCCTCTCACAATTTCTGTAATAATGCACTCTGAGATCAACAACTACACTCGTTATTAAAGAAACAGTGAAAGAACTATTATCATATTTGCAGGGGAGCACCTGGGTTTGGAAGAAAAACAACACCATGCAGGGGATCAGAGCTGCTAACAAAAAAGATTGTTTTGACTTGATTCATTGCTCCTGTACATGGGTATTTATTACATAAGTTTGAAGCTAGCCGTGCAAATTGACTATTTGATAAAAAATAACCCTGTATGTCTCCTTGTTCCCTCTACTATTCCTGTTATCTTTGTTTAAAAGTATAGTTAATTTTCAAAATAGGCTCCATGAATAGTATAACTTTTGAATTTGAGGTATTGTGTGGATTTCGAATCTGAGGACTGTTATCGCTTCATGTTTTTGTTGAGGCTTTGCGTATGGTCGCTTTGTTGGTGATGATATTGAGGGACGTCATAGCGGGAAAGGGGTTGGTTTGATTACCCTTAATATATCCATTAATTTGTGGTTTTCGTTGGCTAAATGCCAGGCACTTTACGAATCTCCTTCAATGCATAGGTTCGCCGGCGCTCTTCGGTAAATTTTGCACGGGTCAGTATTAATTTTGCTGTCTTTACTTTCGTGGGTAGATTTCTTGTCACATGTGTGGGTGTACAAAACTCCCACACAACACGCAAAAATGTTTATATCACTCCCATTTGAACCAGATTCATTTTCCTAGTTTGGAAATTCGACTGAACGTGCCTTATTCAAAATACTTCATTTTGCGACGGATGAATGGCACTTGAAAATTCCTCCTTTTTGAGTAAAATTTGAAATATCTATTTCGTGAAATTCTTGTGGGGTACCACTTTAGTACCCCACAAGGGTCAAAACTGGCCTTGTGGGGCACCTTCCATTGTTCCAGTACCCTACAAGCCCCTCTATTCAAGTTCATGCACGAGAACAAAGGAAATACAAGTATAGCCGTGTAAGGGAGGACTGTGTGTGTGGGGGGGGATGATCTCTGACAGCTCGGCACCGTCCCAGGTGAGATCCTGACCCCGGCAAGTGAAGAGGCGGTGGTGCAGGCTAAGGGTGCGCAAAGTCAGTGGTTAGAAGGGGAGGGGGTATTATATTAGTAATCGTCGCCCCCCCCCCCAAAAAAAAAGCCCCCACCCCCGGGATCTCCACCCATGCTTACTTTCATGACATTATATCTATGTATCTGTACACAATTTCATGTATGTTTTGAGCTGCTAAAACAGGTGACAACTGCAAATCTCCGAAGAATGTTTTCACCTTGTGTGAAACGAAGATTTCAAGAGGCCACAGTCAAGTTTTAAAGTATTTTTTTAAAACTGATACTCACCCTGCTGCAAGCACTGACGAATGGGGGGAGGTGGAGGCCAATGGGGGACACTGTCCTCCAGAAATTGAGCAATATTATTATTATTATTATTATTACTATTATTATTATTTTTGCTTTTGAATGTTAGGAGAGATAGATGAAACAGGAGTCTTTGGCTTTACCCTCGAAATTTAGCTTCACCGGTACTCTTCGGAAATTTTTGCACCCCTAACCCTCGAATATTGCGTGTATCTGCTGTCAGACGGTAAAAGGCATAAACGAGCGAAACGAAAATATAGAGGTCTCCTACACTGAGTCAAGATTGCCTCTTATTTTATGACTCTTCTGGTCGTGTAAAGACAACCGTGTACACAGTTTTACACCGCTGACGCTGTAGGTCGAGGATGCGGGAAAAACCGCATCCAGGGGGAACCTACACCTACTTTCCAACTAGATCGTAGACGTTATATAGCGCCCTCTAGTGGTTGTTAAAGACACACGCTAGAAAGTGGAAGCTGATCTGTTAATTGTGTAGGTTCTTTCATTTTGGCGACTTTTTATATCCGCATTGTAACTTTTCTGAGGGACCTTAGTCTAGAATTTTACGCAGACGAACTGATGATACCGAATTAGACTCTTCCTCGAAACTCGTTCAAGCACATAAGCCGTCTCCTGCTGAAACAATGGACGAAAGTTACGATAGCGGTAAGTAGGCCTGTAAGTGTAAAAACTAAAGCAGGCTACGGAGGCATAGGCCCTGTTTAGCCCAGTTTCCGGACAAGGGGATATGGGCTTGGGAAATGCATATTACAGAAGAGGCGCATATCACTTGGGGATTGTCGCTGTATTCGGAGAAGTCCCTTTATTTGGGTACAAAACCAGCCCCTGAAAGAGAGAATGTCTCCTTAAAAGGGACGGGCCACTCTACACAAAAGACGACCCCTGGAAATTGGAATGACTGGTTACGTGGGTACAACTTACAAGGTGAAAAATCCCTTGAGAAGAGTGTGACACTTTGACCTGTACCTGGCTATAAGATTGATCATGCAGGGTGGCGGGTAGCCCAACTAGTGTGGCACAGACTCTCATTCCCGATCCATTCTTAGCCACACATCCGTATGCGCAATTTCGTGTCGGCGTACTGAACATTTTTGGCGCACCCACTTATCATTGTGGGCGCAATTTCTTTTGCACACGAACATGATTCTTGACCTTCCGTTTTCTAAAAACCATTTATTGAATGATTTCACTCACGTTATTCAGGTATTTTCCAGTCTTTTTGCCTTTATCCATTCAATCTAACGGGCTCACTCTCACCATCGCCATCTCTAAAATAAGGTCGTTGAGCATTACATCACTTGACCCTCATCATCTCGACGGCTGTTCCATGTCAAGACATCTAAACTGCTGCCACAGTTTTGGAAGAGTCCATTGGTGCATGTAGTATCTTATCACTCACCCGTTTATTACATGTCTTGACATGAAACAGCTGTCGAGACGATGAGGGGTCAAGTGACGTATTGTTCAACGATCTTATTTTAAAGATGGCGACTGAGAGAGCGAGCCCGTTAGATTGAATGGATAAAGGCAAAAAGACTGGAAAATACTTGAATAACGAGAGTGAAATAATTCAATAAATGGTTTTTAGAAAACGGAAGGTCAAGAATCATATTCGTGTGCAAAAGAAATTGCGCCCACGATGATAAGTGGGTGCGCCTAAAATGTTCAGTACGCCGACACGAAATTGCGCATACGGATGTGTGGCTAAGGATGGATCGGGAATGAGAGTCCGTGCCACACTAGTGGGAGATTCTTCCCAAGTGAGCTTAGCCTGGTCAAAAATATCCACGTAGGCCGAGGCCTAAGCCTACCTGTTTTCAATTTTTTTTTTCTTCCATATCTTCCATTTCATATTGAGACCTAAAGTTGTTTTTATGAATTTTGTGCCATGTCACTTGATTAAATGTATCGCAAAGAACTGATTTTCAGGAAAGTTATTTTGATGCAGTCTTTTCCCCACCCTTTATGTGACATTGGCAAGTGCTTCTGCTTGTAATCCTAGAAGTAAACTGTAGATTTTTTTTTTTTAACGGCAGTCTTGAGTGTTTTCTTCTGCTGAATCCAATTAAGGCATTAACCCTCACAGTTCTGCATAAAATTTGCCTCGCAGTACTCAGTACTACAAAATTCTAAGCAGTAGTCTTAGCCTGAAGGACCTAGCGCTACAAATAACTACTTCTGGCTAGGGCACCCTCTATCGTCACTTGTACAGAGAACAATAAAGTCGTGCATTCATAGTGCCCGAGCACTGTATGGTACATTGTCTTATCTATACTATTTTATGGCCTCAGAAAACAATAAGGTCATGTCCCCTTACAAGCGACAGCACTGAATACTACATTTTACTACTAAGAAGTACTTTGTAATATTCAAAGCTGTCAGGATTAACAGGATCCCCAGGGCAATAGTAGGTCCCCATGCTCACTTGAAAAAACATGTGTTCCCATATAGAGGGACATCCTCTCTTTCTGGGGATTGATTTTGTCCAGGAATAAAGGGACTTCTCCAAACACAAGGACAGTCCCCGAGTTGTGATGTTCGCCTCGACTATTAGGCCTAGCCCTGAACTTTTTACAGGTTTAGTCGGAGCCGAAGGCTAAGGGAAAATATTTGGGGATTGTGTAACTGAGGAAAACTTTGTCATGTTTTGTGCTTTGTGAACTCTCATATTTTTTTAACATCGTGGTCTGTGCGCCATAATTTTCCAAGGTAGGTTGATCATGTTGATTCTTTATTGGACATGCAGGCAGCCTAGGTTGTGTCAACTCTTTTGTCAGTTGTTTGTTGATTCTTTTTTCAACGAGCTAGGGGGTTTATCATCCCTTTCAGTGTGCTGAAATCAAACTTGTATAGGAAAGAATGTTGTATCCTAATGCCATTTCCTTGATTGTATACAAAGTCTACAAACTGACAAACATTTAATGATGATGAAGATCCCACAATATTGAAAATTTGAAGTATTTCCTTGGCCCCATGTTGTCGACAAGGTAAAAGGAACAGGTGTTGTGAGATGCGAGCCTATATTGGAATGAACGCTTGATGAGCTTGAAGCATGTGCAAAAGTTTTCAACTGATCACGCGCATATTAGGCCAAAATAAAAAAGTCTCCGGTTTCTGGGCAGCAAGCGCATCGCCATAGATCTGTGCGTTGGCAAAAGAAAACAGTATTTGGTGCGATGTCCAAAAGCTGCCACCCTTGCTTGATCGACCGAAATCCTGCTATTGCATAATTTTAACATGTTTTTGATGAGTTGAGTAATATGCACAGCAAAGGTGTCCCTGTAGGCCCCCATACATTTAGTTGGGCACTCTTTTTCGGATGACATCATTTATGAGCGCAAGCTTGCCCAGACGATAGAAGCCTGTTGTGTAAGTGAAAAGAAAACTTACAACATTGCTTCAAAAATCAAGTTGTCAGTTGGAAATCATGGAAATGATGGCATGGAAATCATTTCAAGGGAAAAAAATGGGGGGGGGTGCATTGCTGCACCACTTTTGGAGCCAGCCCCCAACCAGAAACCAGAGTCCTTTTTATTTTGGCCTCACCGTGAAACTGGTCCTTGACATTGGAAATGTTTTTCAGTGTCAGATTTGCATCATTTCAATATTTTTGGCAAGTAAAACTTTCATAGAAATAATGTCAATGTAAGATGAAAAAAAGTTGTGTCACAATACAACATTCTCTCCTGTGAATCCATGACAACAAATTTGTTACAAATGAGTAAAATGTCAAAATACATCTTCAAAATTGCATGAACCCCTGTGCTACCGAATCTATTATGCACCAGTGTAGAAAAGTTGTTGTGCAAGCATATTGTTGCATTTAGCAGTGAATGCAAGTGGCAGAGCGCACTCCAAAACTTGAAAGGGCCAAGGCTGGTGTTAAATGCAGTGCGCTGCTCAGAGCCACAAAAACAACAAAATTAATTAATAGAAAGTAGGTTTGCGGTAGCACCACGGACGTATCTCTTTTGTGAGTATTTGCGGTTCTGAAAAGAACCGGTGGTACTCGACGTTTGGAGCAGTATGCTCCGCTCGTCATCAGGAGAAGTTTCTCCTGAGTTTCTCCTGATGACGAGCGGAGCAAACTGCTCGAAACGTCGAGTACCACTGGTTCTTTTCAGTACCGCAAATACTCACAAAAGAGATACGTCCGTGGTTCTACCGCAAACCTACTTTCTATTCTATTAAATTAATTAATTAATTAATGCATTTTTAAGCAATCTGTTGCATTCGGCACGGTTCTCATTTCAGCTGGGTTGCATTCTGTTGCATCAAGCAGAGCGCCCAGACAGAGCCCAATGGGGTCAGGTTTTTTTTTTAAAAAAAAAGTGGGGGAAGGATGCAGCAAGAACAAGAAACCAGTTCATTGCTTCACTTTGCCTCATGGATTGCTCTGTCTGTGACCATGTAGGGAGTGAGGCAGGCAGCACTCCAGTCCAAGATGAGCACAGTGACGAGGAGACGGGAGACTTCATCCCAGCCGGTGAAGAAGACAACGAGGAGAGAGCAGCCAGTGTGGGCGAAAGAGCTGCCGAAGATCTAGAGGTGAGTTTGTCCATTTTAATTATTCTTTACTTAACCTGGGTAAAGCTCTGTCAGTTATTTCCCAGGGACCCTTTGGGAGGAAGACAACGAAGAGAAGTTCGGTTTACGAGGTGAGAGGAAAACCGCAGACAAATACTCTGGGGAAATCCCACAGAAACAGGTACATATTAGGACTTGGCGCCCTATCCACACGTCGGCCTGGGCAGGATTCGAGCCCCGGACACAGAGGTGGAAGGCAAGGATGGTGCCCATACACCAACCTGACTCCCCAGAAGCAGTAAGGCAGTTGAACTGAAACCAGTTATTTTTTTGTGGTGGTCAGGTAATTTCAGAACCATCATTCGTAAAGAAAACCATTGTACAGTCACCTGCAAATTGCCCTGCCCTATGCCACAGAAGAAAGTTGGGCGCTTTGATCGCACTGCACTTTTAAGTCCATACTGTGAGAAAGAAGGCACTGTTTCCTCCTTCTTGTCCAAACTACTTTCAAAACCTTGAATGAGAAAGAAAAGGTGATCAGCTGATGGTGGGAAAGCGGCAGATCTTGACCACACTTTTACCGATCATCCAGACCGACTGATTGACTGGTCTTAGGACTATTTGAGTGCAAGGCATTTGGTTTTCAAAATTCTACTTAGGATTGTTGATTGTAGTGTCTTTTATGAGAAAGCTGTTGTCAGAATGTGCAAGATTTTAGGTGAGAAACTCCCAAAGAGGATTCTCATACCAGGCATCTGGGCACCCATGAGGTTCCTAGAATCTACTTGGAGCTGCATCGTTTGCCCTGTCTTGATCCCATTCCTCCTTCCTAGACCCATCTCAACCTTTTACTTTGATGTCCATTTTAGGAAATGGAATGCCAAAGTCACCTCTTTCTTTTATGGTTATGTCATGCAACACAGAATCCTGATCTTGAAACGGGCCTTGATTCTTAAGATTGTTTGCTTGTTTTGCCGATAAAATGTTAGGAAGGGGAATACATATCCGACGGCGAAGCTGGTCAGGGAGATGAGGAAAACGCCAGCTCGGAAGGGGAGGTGGAAAGCGAAGGAGAGGAAGACAGGGAGCCGAGGGACAGCGAGCAAGAGGCGGAGCCCGAGGAGGATGAAGGGGAGGCAGAGGGCTATCGCGAGGAGGACGAAGAGAGGGAGAGCGAAGAGGAGGACAGAATTGCCGAGGAGGATCAGGAGGAGAGATTAGAGGAGGAGGAGGAGGATGGGGAACAGGCCGAGGAGGGTGAAGTCGAGAATGAGTATCAGGAGGTTTCGGAGAATGAGTACGAGGAGGAGGAGCAAGTGGAGGCGAGGCGCAGTGATGACGATGAGGCATACAGGCGTGGCTCAGACGAGGAAGATGAGAGGGATGCGGAGAGTGACGCCGAGGCAGAACCCCAGGAAGTGGCGGAGGGGGAAGATGTGGAGGAAGGGGAGTATGAACCAGCTGAGGACTACCCAGAGGAGGGACGGGAGGTGTACGGCTCGGAGGATGAACCGGAAGCTGACGAGGAGAGGCCACAAGCGGAATCTGACGAGGAGTACAATGAAAATGCCGAATTAGCACCGGTGGAGGGAGAGTACGACAGCGAGGCCGAACCGCAGGAGTATGAGGAGGACAGGGGAAGCGAAGGACCGCCAAGCGAGCAGTATGAGGCGCAGGAGTATGAGTACAGGGAGACGGAGCATGGAGAGGACATGGGCGAATCGGAGACAGAAGCCCCTCCAGAGGAGGAAGGCTACGGGGAGCTTGGAGCAGAGGATGACGTCGCGGAAACAGGGATGAGGTACCTGGAAGATGAAGAGCAGGATTATCATCATGCCCGACAAGAAACCTATGAACCCGACCCAGATATGATGGGGCCAGAAAGTCCAGACCCAGAGAGACAAGCAGCCTCGGATGCCGATGGTAAGCTCGTTTGAGGAACTTGTCGATACGTTATAACAAAGCACAGAAACTTGCCACCACAATTCAATTACTTCATGACATAGGTCTTGTCATTTTGCGTCAGGTTTATCAAGCAAGCGGCATGAAGCATGCAGCAGTACTTGGACAGAATCGTAGCGGCAGTACAATCTGTTGAGTCTCTCAGCTCAGAGATGGTCAATCCTGCACAAAAATGAAGGGTTAACCAAGTGACAATGCCAAAAATCTGTTCTTTTCAGAGCCATACGATATCGAGGCAGAACCATACATCCATAGCGAGGACGAAGGGCAGCAACGGGAGGAAGTTGATGGGACAGAAGCGGCCTATGTGGACGACGAAGAAGTGGTAGATGGGATGGCAGAAGGGGCCGAAGATGAAACAGAAGGGGTTGGGGAGATGGTGGAAGGAGCCGAAGATGAAACAGAAGGGGTTGGGGAGATGGCGGAAGGGGGTGAAGATGAAACAGAAGGGGTTGGGGAGATGGCGGAAGGGGCCGAAGATGAAACGGA